GCGACGTTAGGGAAGTAAAAACTGAAAATGGTGCACAATCCTCATTTATTATTTCTGGACTACTACCATTTCGAAACTATGGAATTAGTGTCTCTGCGGTAAATAAACTGGATAATAAAACGGAAATGAAGGGACAATTTTCCCGTTATATCGAAAACAGAACATCTAAATTAGGTGAAAAGCTTATATTTGAGGAATTATAACTTGAAGAAGTTGTAAAAATGTAACTATCTTGATTACGTATAATTTAGCACCCGCTTACGTATGTAGGCCTGTTCTCGACCCATATAATTACGAGGCGTTGGTTAAATTTTCTCCTGCTCCGGAAGTTAATGGAACGATTGAGTAAGTTAAATTTATTATGCGGCCCTAATGTAAATACTTGTGTGAGTAAGGCAAATTTTGCAATATTTTTTAGCCGTTATGAGGTAGTACTGATTCAGTTAAAGGATGAGAAGGATGAATATATACAGCAGAATACTCCGGAAGAAGTATACTCGAGCATTAATCATAGAGATAATAGATCATCAATTCGTCAGCAATTACATGTTGCATTTATAGGGCTTAGTATTGGTGAAAAACAAATTAAGCTGGTTAGAGCAACTCACTCGTCAGAAAACGATTTTGGATGTCAGACAGATAGTCAAAAGTCCTTTCGTGAATTTTTATCTTCTGGAGAAATCGAACAAGGGAAATATTATGCGGCTCTCGTAGTAGCTTATGTAGTTACTGTTATTGATGGTGTAAAGCAGGTAATTCCACAGTAACAAAATCTTATCTAGTAAAAGTTTGTCTTTTTATAGCAATTCGTTCTCTGTTATCGATTGAAAAATTCTCTTTTATTTGCTTTATTTATTCTTCAGAATCGGTATACTATCAGCAATTTTTCTACAGTTTTGCGAATTGCAGATCGAAATGATATTGCTGTTCTGATGTACACCGCAGTTTCAGTTTCAGCTCTCATTGCGATATCGTTGTTGATTTTCAGCTTACACTTATACAGGTTTGTTAGTTATCATGTGATAATTCCATGTTTTGACATAACGTTTGACTCTATGATATTCAGGAAGAAAACATCGAAGGAATTGCTAATAACAAATTCGCGAGAATCTCTCGACATAGGGATCGGAAATGATCTACAATCAATTAGAGCAAAAGGTACGCATTTCACAGTTATTTTTTGCACAGTACTGTATATTATGTTTAACGCAAACTTTTATATAGCTGAATATGAAAAACCCATACCCATTGACCAATTTATACGTCATGTATCGAATTTACATGAGAATACAGATTTGGGTTTCTATAACGAATTTGAGGTTAGGCGTCAACTGTAGTTGATTTCGAAAATTAAGAATAAATATGAGATTCAGTCGTATTCTATATTCAGTCAATTAGTTACAGTGCGATGTCAAAGAACATTACTTGGACCCATTCGCTAAATCTCCTCAACAAGGCAAAAAATCGCTATGATAATGTAATAGCCTGTAAGTAGGGCATTTCCTAGTAAACTACATACCTACCACAGTTCCAATTAAAAATCTTTTATACGTGTATAGATGATCATACGAGGGTTAAATTAAATCCTATCCCGGATGATTTGGGTTCTACATACATTAATGCAAACTTTATCAAAGTACGTATAATAACCCTACTGACGAAAATATTTGGTAAATCGAGTCATATTCGATATTCATGTCTTGGTTTTTATGTATTCGTTTACTATCTTACATGTAATAGACGAATGGCAAAGTAAAGACTATCATTGCAACACAAGGACCACTGTCAAATACAGTGGGTGATTTTTGGAGAATGATCTGGGAACAACGAGTTAATGTTATCGTAATGATTACTAACATTGTAGAGAAGGGGAGGGTATGATTCAATATTGCTAGTTAGTGTTCAGTTTCAACTTGTGGAGTAAGTAAGTGTTGTTTTCCTTTAATAGCGCAAATGTGAGAGGTATTGGCCCGAAAATGGTAAAAATCAGACGTTTGGTGCCATTTCTGTAACCCTTACGAAAGAAACGACGTATCCTGAGTATACAATTCGACATATGAATGTCAAGAAAGTACATAATTAGAATCTCTCTATATATAATACCTAAGTGAAACCATAGTTTAGTTATTGTCGGGACTACTTAAGTCCTGGTTATCGCGTAGATTACCTGTATTTGTTCGTTAGTTAGAATAGCTGATCCACGACTGTGAAATGCAATTTACAGGTAGAAAGAACAGCAAAGATGTTTAATGCCGTAAAGCAATTTCATTATACGTGCTGGCCTGACCACGGTGTTCCAAACAACACTAATGGCATTATGAAATTTATTAAAAAGTCGGTAGCTGCTAACGTATTAGCCTCCGCCCCAATAGTTGTTCATTGCAGGTACTTTGCTATGCTATCTCATCAAATGAAGTGTAGATATTTTGATTTTTAAACGTTTCTTTATACCTCACACTTACATTCCATTAGTGCTGGTGTCGGTAGAACTGGGACTTACATTGTGCTTGAAACTATGATGAAGCATATTGACGATGGCTGTGATATAAATATATACAAATTCATTTCTGATATTAGAAGCCAACGAAATATGATGGTACAAACTGAGGTACTCTTACGTATATGAGTATACGATTACGCTAAATAATTGAAGCTACAGTTGCTGTTGTGGTAAATAGGTTGTAGATCAAATATCCA